ATAACATTAAACCAGACGGCTATGGTATACAGTTTTGTTTTCGCAAAGTGTAGTACTAATGTGTAGTTAAAAGAAATTGTGAAGTATGTACTGTCAAGTTTAAATTCGGACTACTTACATTAATTTGCTTCTTCTTTTAGTTGCTGCTAACGTAAATTCGTGTCCCTCAAGTACTGGAAAATGCGTCAAAATTGTCTAATTTCCTTAAAAATTTTCCGGGGGGCAGCGCCCCCAGACCCCTGCTATTGTAGGTTCTACAGGAAATATTTCCTTGGAAGTTTTTAGAGGGCGATCTGTGAACAGACAACTACCTCATTCCCAACCATAGGAACCAAAATTCCTATACAAATACAATATATCATCGATATTATTTGATTCGGTATATTCCTCGGATGATTGATAAGGGGTTGTTCACATATTACGTAATTAGCCGAGGAGGAGGGGGTTCCCAAATGATTACGGTTGATTACGGGGGGGGGGGGGGGGGGGGGGGGTTTGGCTGTTGATTACGTAATCAAAATTTTCTTTTTTACCCACTCAATTTCATTCTGATAGTGATAAAATTTATGAATAGATCGGGTATCCGGTATCCGGCTGCTAAAGTAAGTAGTTTGGAAGGTGCTTGGCCGGATATAATAACAATGATTTCGGCTCATGATGATCAGGGTAGCATGAAACGTAGAGAAAAATGTTTTCCAGGGGAAAAAGTCAAAAAGGGGGGGGGGGGGGTAATTTTTTTTTCCGTCAAGAGTGGGTGGTTGATTACGGTTGATATATGTGAATGACCACTAATATAAATACAAGTTATACCAAAAGGAATTATTTCAATCGGGCACTCAGCAACTGAGAAATAAGCGCCAACGTAAGTGTACTTTTACTAACTACCCCCTCCCCGCTGTATATACTATATATGTATATATTAGTATTAGGGGTCGTTCGCATATTACGTAATCAGCCGAGGGGGGGGGGGGTTTCCAAATGATTACGCTACTGTAATTTTGACACAATAGCTATGTGTAAAACTGATTACGGAGGGGGGGGGGGGGTTTAAAAAAAACCCCCCCAAAAAAATGCCGTTAAAAAATTTGAACAATCCCTTACGGGACAAATTGTCGAAAACAGGGGGTTACAGAAAAAAACCCCCTTTTTAGTGCAGTCGATTTGACGTCTAGTCGACACCCTGCGAAATTCTCTAATTTAATTTTGGCTTTTGGTTTTTTTTAATGTTTTTTTAGGCACCTGGATGTATTTGTAATTTGGTATATCAACGTCAACAATATATTTATACCACTGAATCTCAGACAAGTTCTTACGAAACATTTTGACTTTGTAATGGACCCTTACATTAACCAAAAAACAAAAGTAATATTTTTAACCAAACCCCAAAATTGGGAGATAGTGGACGGTTCATATGCAAAATAATACGGATAATGTCATTATGTTCATTGTTAATTATGTTAATTCTTTAATTTAATCGGTTGCTCGCTATTCCCATTCATTCACAATTGATGATAGATTGAGGGGAACGTATACTCGGCACTTGTTTTGCAATAAACATTAGCTCATGGACAAGCTACTAATGCTGCTTTTATCTCAAAGTCAAAGTACCCTAAGTTGTAGGTATAGGTCCAAAAGCAACACAAAGAGATCTGCTGTGATTGTCTATTGATGTTATAAACCTTAATTCGTTATAACCATTTATAGCTTAAACTGTCAATAATGGTTCTACTACTACGGGGTTTTGGGCATTTTGAGGTGGTTTTGCATAATTGGGCCAAAAATGGACCTGAAATGGGCGCGGTGGCGGGCTTTTCTGCCTGTACGGTGTGGGGAATTTTTGGGTGGAAATATCTAGCTAGCTAGGCCGAACCAGGACCGCTTATTTTTTAAATATTCTTAAAGGAGAGGCGGGCCTGGGTGTGTCCCACGAATGGATAGACGATGAAAATGAGGTATAGACAGGACACATGTGAGTAGTCGCTATTGTCACACCGGTCTGGAGTAGTGGCTAATGGGACACACCGGTCTGGTCCAGCTCCTCGGCAATTAGGCGTTAGGTTGCGGTTTTGCGGAAATTGACATTGTGGTGATATTGTGGTTGGGCAAATATTTCATTGATGAGAAGTTTGGAAATATGCCCTCTTATTTGGGCAATAGTCGGGAACTGTCCAAGAAAGTGTTAAACAGTCTAAACAGTCTCACTGATGCTTGATTTGCAAATGAAGTGGGGGTGTTTGTGCACTGTGCAGGCCACAATGTCCCGTGATAAGGTGCACTGCAGTTTTTCTGTTTATTTTGTTGTTGTTTGCTATGTGTAGGTTTTTGATGATTGTTTGAACGTGTTTGCGCCGAGTGGAACACATATACTTTTTATATGGTCATCCCCCCCCCCCCCCCCCCCCCCCCCCCCCCCCCCCCCCCCCCCCCCCCCCCCCCCCCCCCCCCTCCCCCCCCCCCCCCCCCCCCCCCCCCCCCCCCCCCCCCCCCCCCCCCCCCCCCCCCCCCCCCCCCCCCACCCCCCCCCCCCCCCCCCCCCCCCCCCCCCCCCCCCCCCCCCCCCCCCCCCCCCCCCCCCCCCCCCCCCCCCCCCCCCCCCCCCCCCCCCCCCCCCCCCCCCCCCCCCCCCCCCCCCCCCCCCCCCCCCCCTCCCCCCCCCCCCCCCCCCCCCCCCCCCCCCCCCCCCCCCCCCCCCCCCCCCCCCCCACCCCCCCCCCCCCCCCCCCCCCCCCCCCCCACCCCCCCCCCCCCCCCCCCCCCCCCCCCCCCCACCCCCCCCCCCCCCCCCCACGCCCCCCCCCCCCCCCCCCCCCCCCCCCCCCCCCCCCGCCCCCCCCCCCCCCCCCCCCCCCCCCACCCCCCCCCCCCCCCCCCCCCCCCCCCCCCCCCCCCCCCCCCCCCCCCCCCCCCCCCCCCCACCCCCCCCCCCCCCCCCCCCCCCCCCCCCCCCCCCCACCCCCCCCCCCCCCCCCCCCCCCCCCCCCCCCCCCCCCCCCCCCCCCCCCCCCCCCCCACCCCCCCCCCCCCCCCCCCCCCCCCCCCCCCCCAACCCCCCCCCCCCCCCCAACCCCCCCCCCCCCCCCCCCCCCCCCCCCCCCCCCCCCCTTACGAAATTAGTTTCAAATAAATTCAGCAATTGTGCGTTAGCATAAATTTGATTTACAAAATTGGCTGTTTAAGCGGGGGTATCAAATTAAATATAATATTGATAATCAAGAAGACTTGTGTTATAAATTTTATCTATCAAATGTATTTATACCAGGATTGGGATCGAAAAGACAGAATACTTAAATCCAAAACACCCTAAAGATTTAGCCACATAACTTACATATTAGCTACGTGTTTATCAATAACACGGTAACCCAGTCTGTATCACCCAAAAATCAAAAACAAATGCACGAATCCTGGCACGTAGGAACTGATTAACATGGCACAATTAAAGGGAATTTATATTCAAATAACCAATCACTCACAAATATTCTCTTATCAAACCAAGCTAAAAATGTTGAGATACAAAAAATAGACCGTTCCTTCGAAACATCACGAAATAACCAACATCCATCGCAAACCGATTAACCGACAAAAGCGTAGTAGAACTAAGAAATTTTTATCAAAAATATATCAAAAGGATCTCAACCAAAGAAAGTCTTGAATACAACATTGAATTTATATCATTTAATGAGACAGACAAGTCCCCCAATTTGGCCTCATGCTATCGACTCCATTTCAGGCCTATTTCATTTTCATAGGTCGGAAGTAAGGACCTCTCTTAAGGTCGACTTGTTCCGCCTCAGCCAAGTTACCTAGCTTCAAGTGGGTGCTGGGGGGTCTGGTTCGGCGTCTCATCAGGATGTTGTCTGTCAAATATTTTTGGTTAGAATAGTTGGTAACACGACTCCTGTCCGGACAGCGACATCTGTCCGAAAGCGACATCTGTCCAATCAGGTACCAGAAAAAAACGACATCTGTCGAAATTGTGACCTGATTTCAATACGACTCATTTCAATTAGAGACAGGATCCTAAACGTTTATTGCTAAAAATTGTATACGTAACATGTCCAATTTGAGATATGACTCTGAGCAATAGTTTACTACCACAGTTTTTTTAATTTGATGTCGATAACTTAGGACAATGTTATTTAAATGTTATAAAAGTAATTCATATAATACAATATACAGAATCAAATCTAAAGGTAGTCAAAATTCCGATAAGCTTTAAGGAAATCATAGGGTTGCTGTAGTTGTCGTAATCATCTACAATTCTCTGAAGTGTCGATCATACGGGATCCCATTTGGGTGCACTTGGCTCATGGTAGTTCCGCCGTCCTCTTTTGGTTTTCTTCACGTCTGTAAGGGGGGCTTGATTCTGCTTTATAAGGCAATCAAGGAACTTTCAAATTAGTGGGCTTCGAGCAGGGACGCATGATGGAATCCTCATCTGTGCAGGCTTCGTGTTGATCCACATGTGGGGAGCGAAGGTTTAGGATTGTGGTTGATGTCCCGATCAAGTGTTTTGTTAGTATGAAGCAATAGCCATGTCTATAGGAAGGATGGGCTTTCAGGGTCTCAGATTCGAGGGACGTCAGTCTCCGGAACGTAGGCAATGCTCACTCCAGTCATCGCGAAGAATCCGAAAGGAGGAGTTGGAGTCAGGTACTCCTCCCAGATGTTGGTCTGTTAACATGCTTCAGGAGGCTTCTTGTAGTGGAAGTTACATCCTGTTGTAGTGGAGTGGCCCACGAAGCAACTGCGTTGTGAATGGCGAGCTGTAGTCCATGGAGGTGGATTGTGGTTGGTAGCCCCGAAGCCCAGGTGGTCTATCTCCTCGAAACAGGTTGCGGTAGAGGGGTCGTGGTTTTTTCAGGATCTGATTGCGTCTTAAGAGGTCCCAAAGAAAAGTCGGACGAGTCCGTTCGACCCATCCAGAGTCCAGAGAATCATTTGGTTCGTTGTCGGTAGAGAGGATGAGTAGTTTGCAGGAATGGAGAGGCGTTTCCAGATCTCTAGGGTTCAGAAGGGTGTCTGTTAGCTGCTTTTCTTCTTCTCTGTACCATTCTGTTGAGGGATGAACCAGCTGGCAGCCAAGCTTTTGCTCTAGATTCGTAACCCAATCCACCGACTGCTTCAGATACGAGGTATTTCGTCGGTTGATCTCCACCAGAAGCCTTTCTTTTCAAGTTCTGTTTGCTGACGTGGACGGTCGTTTCAGCATGGTGGACAGGGTGAGTGTGGTCAGGAGTAGGAGTGATCAGTTGTCTGTCCACGGTACGGATGCGGGCTCTGCAACCCTTTCGGAATTCCGAACATTTCCAGTAGGAGGTGTCGTTACTTCGCTTGTCGAAGACGTATCTGATCCTTAGGATAGGGTTCTCCGAGCCTTGTTTGCGTCCAGGGATAAACTGAAGATTGGTTGCCATTGTGGATTGCGATAAGTGATCTCCATACTGCTGTCCTACATGTACTCATGTCCTGTGATGTGATCGACAGCTTGTTAGGGTACGGCTAGCACGATCCTGTTCTCAACTAGTCAATCACGTATCGATGGATCAGATCTTAAGGGATCACATCAGCTTTAGAACGTCACGAGATTACCTGTGAGCTTGTGAAATGCGAATGTGAACCTAAATTACAATATGATCCGAAATTCGGACAGATGTCGCCAAAAACGACTCCTGTCCGACAGCGACATCTGTCCGAAATCCCTAATTCAGCTTTCGGACAGATGTCGCTGTCGGACAGATGTCGCCCAATCGAATAGTTTAATATGCGCAGCGGTTAGTGGCTCACAATCTGCATTAGCGGTTACATACTCACAATCTGCCGGTTACAAATAAAAACAAGCTAGATAAAATCTGCACAGAAACGTCCTTAAAACATAAGAATATCAATCTGTTAACTGACCTGAACCCAGAACATGAAAGCGTTGACAAAGAGCGGGACAATGAGCATTACGACGACCACCTCCAACTTTCCATGTCCTTTCAGCGGCGAGAACAGAAACTTCCGGAACTGAAGAGTTAGAAAATGTCAGCTTGCCAAAACAATGCCTGATTATTCTATTCAGGATATACGGTCCGTTTATTTCGGTTATTTTAACGGTCTCATCGAAGTGACGTAGAAGTGTGGTTTAAAGGAGTTATCATTTTCAACGAAGAATTACACAGATAACCACTAATACAGTTCATGTCACTTTGTAACATAACCCGGTTTCATTTTCCGAAATGTATTTCCGACTTCGTGTTTGTCACATACAACTTAAAAGTACAGTCGAGAAAAAATAACTCAGTTTATACCACATTTCGACGGGTCCGAGAACAAAGCTGTTAAATAACGGCCTCCTAAACTGATCAGTTGCATGGATACGTGAGTAACGTGCAGTATATCACTATTACAGCGACCAGCGATGATTGACGGGACTTTCGCGGACGTGACTGATCGTCTGATCGAATACGAGCGCGCGCAAAACGTACAAGCAAGCTGCGCGCCGCTATATATCTAATTATGCCCAGAGCGCGAGAACATGTAGTGTAACGCTTGTGCGCGTTCCTGTTTACGCATCAAAATTGTGTCATATTATGTCACAGATGACCTAATTAGGGCTATTCCGAACAATGGCAATCAAATTTGAATTAACAAGCATTAACAGAAACTTACATTAGTCCAGAACGGTATCAAGACCAAGGGAGACACTAAAAGCTTCTGAATTATCATTATCAGGAGATAAATTCCACATTGAGCCAGCCAAGCTTTAGCCTGAGTAAGAAGTAGTCTTAGCCTTGTTACACGTAATTTTATAAATAAAAGTAGAGGGTTATTTCTCCAGAATTTAAAACGAAATGACGACGGATATAAGATACTTTTGAGGTTTCATTCTTACGAAATTTATAATCCGGGTTTATTATGACCTATCACGTAAAACTAATAGCGTAGTGATGTGTAAGCTAACTAAGGAGGAGTATTACAAAATATTATCACTAGATTACTTGATTATTTACTATTACGAGAACTTGAGCATAGAGAGCAGACAGTGTAAATCCGGGCTATATAATAATCGAGTGTATATGATATTGCTGTGTAAGATCCCTCATAGAAAAGTGTCTCTTAAAATTATTAGCCTATTTGTGTAAAATCTTGTATTTGTTATATTGTTGACACTAACTAATAAGTAACTAATGAGTAACTAATAAGTAATTAATGATAACTAATAAGTAATTAATAAGTAACTAATAAGTAACTAATAAGTAACTTATAAGTAACTAATAAGTAACTAATGAGTAACTAATAAGTAATTAATGATAACTAATAAGTAATTAATAAGTAACTAATAAGTAACTAATAAGTAACTTATAAGTAACTAATAAGTAACTAATAAGTAACTGATAAGTAACTGATAAGTAACTGATAAGTAACTAATATGTTACTAATAAGTAACTAATAAGTAACTAATAACTTAAAACTAATAACAAACCTGTGGTGGGTTGCCGTATTCACCACTCTTAAGATGAGCATTGCTACTATCACGTAACAAATACCTAGATAACGTTATCAGACCATACAGTATTAGCAGTCCAATGGTCATGTCAATAAACATATTCACGAAATACCTGGGGGAGGAAATAATGATAATTTTTGGAAAGAGCATTAAAAATTGTCTTACACTCCTATACGAATCAAAACTTAAGCAGCAATCGGATTAAATTGCAAAATAGAAGGCACATTATCCCATATATGGCAAATCATTGATTTTAATTAATTAGACCGACTAAAAATACGTAGCTACATACAAGGAGCAGGGGTCCTGGTTTGAGAAGAAGAGCTGGGAAGCCAGAACGTTGAAAACATGTATAAAACCTGCTCCGATAGCTTGTTTACTAACGTCTAACAGCCACACCATAACACTTCTCCTCTCGTATTTAGGTTCCCTGGGGAGTGAGGTTTAAAGTGAGGTTCTGCTACTCTCTCTCTCTCTCTCTCTCTCTCTCTCTCTCTCTCTCTCTCTCTCTCTCTCTCTCTCTCTTCTCTTTCTCTCTCTCTCTCTCTCTCTCTCTCTCTCTCTCTCTCTCTCTCTCTCTCTCTCTCTCTCTCTCTCTCTCTCTCTCTCTCTCTCTCTCTCTCTCTCTCTCTCACCCTCCCTCCCTCCCTCCCTCCCTCCCTCCCTCCCTCCCTCCCTCCCTCCCTCCCTCCCTCCCTCCCTCCCTCCCTCCCTCCCTCCCTCCCTCCCTCCCTCCCTCCCTCCCTCCCTCCCTCCCTCCCTCCCTCCCTCCCTCCCTCCCTACCTCCCTCCCGGCCCTCCCTCCCTCCCTCCCTCCCCTCCCTCCCTCCCTCCCTCCCTCCCTCCCTCCCTCCCTCCCTCCCTCCCTCCCTCCCTCCCTCCCTCCCTCCCTCCCTCCCTCCCTCCCTCCCTCCCTCCCTCCCTCCCTCCCTCCCTCCCTCCCTCCCTCCCTCCCTCCCTCCCTCCCTCCCTCCCTCCCTCCCTCCCTCCCTCCCTCCCTTTGGTCAAATGAGAGGGGGGAGGCAACACAAGAGGACCAGCTTCTGGTTGAGATACAGACCGCACCAAAAGTGCATCCCTTTTCTGGACCTCACTTATTTCGCAAAAGCTGCTGACAGGCCCTGATATACATTTTAAATCGCATTATTTGAATCCTCTTTAATTAAACTGTGCTTGAAAATGATCCCTATTTCTAAATAGGCCTATTGCACGAGCAAAATCCTCAAACAAATCCGCCAACAATATCTCACTGCAGCTGCTATTCTTCGCATTTTGACATTAACTTCAACTTTTTTACAGACATAGGTGACACTAAATTGTTCACAGCGATTTAAATTTAAACTGCTCAAAATTGTATGGTGCCTGCACATTAAACGTAGCTACGAGTTTCAAAATAATTTGAGCAGTTTGCCTCATTCGTCAAATTTTAAGCACCACTTAAATTTTGAACCCAAGTCAAAAAATCATGTATTGAAGACATGATTAAAACACTTAAAGATGCAAATCAAAATGCTGCAATGTAATTTTTATAAAATAATTCTGTAGAAAATAATGTATGAAAAGAGATATAATTTTGTTTAAACATAATCAATAATTACATCACAATGAACATAAATTACATTAAAATTAAAAGACCTGCATGCAATGAAAGAAGTACATTTAATGCATGTCTTTCATTTTAGTTGTACAGTAAGTATAACGATGTTTAAATTTGATAGTGTATTTAACGGTTTTAACTTTAAGAACAAACCAAAACTCTGGGGTAAAACCTCACCTGTATCTCTTGAGGACAAGGATAGAGAAAGCGATGGTGGCAAGCAGAAACTGAATAAGAAAACCAAAACTATCTGTCAAGTTACATTCTTCCGAAGAGGTAGAGTTGGTGGTGTTGTTGCTTTGACTAGATTGTGTTACCTGGAATTTAATAGTTTATAATCTGTTTATTACTGGTTTATTACCGGTTCATTACCGGTTTATTACCGGTTTATTACCGGTTTATTACCGGTTTATTACCGGTTTATTAACGGTTTGCTACCAATTTATTACCAGTTCGAGACTTGTCAAAGTCTGGTGTTCTACTGTAAGTATTCTGTTACTATAGGAGATAATGCAAGCTATAGGATATAATGCAAGCTGAAAGAATTGATGTATGTTTTAAAAGCAAACCTTCATAAGTGAAAACAGGGCCAGAAAGAAAAGTGATGTTGTAGTGACCATGATCAGGAACATGAACACATTTTGACAAAACTTTTTCATTTTCCCATCGACAGCCATCTAACAGCAATCATCAACATCCTCCTGAATATTACAGTTACAATCACCATTATTGTCCCAAGAAAATTCCACATATTTTGTCAGAAACCTCGATTAAACTTTTTGTTAAACCGAGCGAATTAAGATAACTAAAAATGTATCATAATATTGGTTGTTTCAATACCAGGTGCAGTGATCGATTACCAAATATTCCCGAAGAATGTTTAGCTAAATATACAACACTGTTATTACAATGTAGATACCACTTCCAGTGGAAGTCTTCCACGAACCCAATGTTGCGAATTTTCTGGTTAAATCGTTACGTCTCTATTTTACTAAAATTGTTTTACGAAAAAAACAAATTTTCTTGTCATTATCATAATCAATATCATTATCATAATCAATATCTATCATACTTTGTTACTCCGTATCTTGAAGCAAGAAATAGGAATCAGAGGAACTGCTCTTAGCTGGTTCACCAGCTTCCTTAAAGGACGTTGTCAGCGGACTAGACTCGGCAAATCTGTCTCTGAAACAATAACTGTCCGATTTGGCGTACCTCAGGGCTCTGTTTTAGGCTCGGTACTCTTCAACATCTATATCAGATCGTTGTACAGATGTGTTAAAGAATCTGGTTTCTCCATTATTGGTTATGCAGATGATCATCAAATCATGAAATCTTTCAAACCCTCTGATCAGGTCAAAACCTTAACCAATCAGCTGAGAAACTGCTTCTTGAGGATAAAGAATTGGATGTCACAGTACTACCTGCAACTGAATGATTCTAAAACACAACTCATAGTCTTTGGACCTAGTAAAGTGCTCAGTGAGATAGAACTTCATGGCGTTGATATAGCTCCTAACACTTTGGTGATGTTTGTGCCTACTGTTAAGAACCTTGGATTAGTAATGGACAATCAGCTGGTATTTGATAAACAGATCGTAAATCTCAAGAAGAAATGTTTTCATACGTTACGTAATATCAGAAAAATCAGATTTCTACTGAGACCCAAAGATCATTGTTAACAGTCTAGTAGTGTCATGTCTAGATTACTGTAACGGTCTGTTCTTTGGTATCGGCGAGAAGCTGCTGCATCAGCTCCAGTTACTTCAGAATGCTGCTGCAAAAGCTGTCACTGGTAAATATAAACATGACCATCTTGATGATGACCTGATAAAGCTTCACTGGTTAGATGTAAAGAAAAGGATTGTCTTCAAAATCTTATTACTATCTCACAAGTCACTGTTAGGATTGGCACCAATTTATCTGCAGGACATGTTCAAGTATGCTCATCACCCAGGTCAAGATTCATGTGAGATTGCGAGACAGGCTCATCGCACAAAATCTTAAAATAAACATAGAAAAAAATTAACAAAAGAATGTGTGAGAAAATATAAAAATGTAATTTAAAAGATTTAAGCGACACAAAAATTTGCTTAAGACTTTGTAAATTCGGAACTTAGTGCGGTGTGAGATCACGTGGTTAAAGTATAACAAGTATATTCAATTATTGCGAGATTTTGACGATTTGATATAAAATCTCACCTCCCTATCGCGAGTTTAACCACGAGATTTCGGCACCCTCTTTCAGCACTACATATCCGGTCGCGCGCTTGCATTTTTATAATAATATTCCTCATCTTGCTGGCCCCTTCGTCTTTATCATCAAGCCGACTTTTTATGGTCATTGAACTTTTGGTATTGATTGTTTTGAATTATTACTGGTTGTGTTACTCTGACGGCTTACTTTTCTGTACTGTCTAGGTCTTAAAGGATACTAGTTGTTGTCGATATTAATCGGTTTATAAGATAAAGATTCACAGTGGTTACTATAGTTACCATGGTTACCATTAAAGGAGGTCTGGTAACGGTCGAAATCTCAAGGTACTGTTCCTGGCTAAAGTCGACTCAATATTTCTCAGAGTATTCTTAATACTGCCATAGGCAATGCCTATTAGGCATAGTGAATATTTCTTCATAATTAAAAGTTTGAAAAAGGGTCTTTTCAACTGTAGAACTGACTTATTAATCCTAACAGGTAATTAACTCTGGATCCTCATCAAATTGATTCCGTTCTAAATTCTAGCCTTAAAACAAAACAAACATTACCAGATAAATCCGTTTACCATAATTTGACATGTTCTAGTGCGAACAAGGCCTTCCCCGGACAAATCCTTAAATGCCAGTCTTCTCTAGCTGAAGTACGAACAGTATAATTTATCGGATAAAGTATATTACAATGTGCTCTGATGATAATTTTAGTAAAATAATTAATAATTGCCAAAAAAATGACCGTCGACGAGGTTCGAACCGTAGCCAATTGCTACGCAATCGCGCCCTAAACCATTGTGCTACAATAGGCATATCAGATTTACAATATGTAACTCTATATACTTCATAAAAATACGCACGTAAATTTTCGAGCGACATAAAGCGACATACTTACAATTTCGCTCACAAAGGGACTCGCGAAATCTGAAATCTTTTTAAATAGAGAATAATTTGTGGAGCAAGAAATCTTGCAGGCTGGGTAGGGGGGGGTGGGGGTGGTGGGGGGAGTACATTTCACCACTGCACGTGACACGTGAAAATCGCACTTTTAGTCTCAAATCCAATCTCATCGCACTTTTTTTAGAATCTTGATAGGGGGCTCATCATGGTCACTCATTGAAGCTTATTGTTCCTTCTTGTAATTCAAAGTTTGGTGAGCGTAGCTTCTCTGTAGTGGCTCCAAAGATCTACAATCGTGTGCCTGTTACCATCACCTCTGCTCAATCTTTGGAATGTTTTAAAGCTTTTCTAAAAACTTACCTTTTCAAAATGTCTCCAGATGAACTTGAAAAACTTTATCGATAACTATTGTGGTCATATTTGGAATTCGATCTTTGCATAATATATTTAAGTACCATTTTCGGGCTTTAGTATTGACGATATATTTTCAAGCATATGTTATTTTTTAGCTCAGTATTCATGATATTTTCGGGGATGACTAGTTCAAACACTGCTGAGTATATAAGATTTATCTTAAAAGCGGTGTTATTAAATTTCAATTTATTATTATTATTCGATTCGTTACCTCAATCAATATAGTCAAATGTCAATTCATAATATTACATCTTAGAGTTGGTTATTCATATTAAGATATTATTACACATTTTTAATTCATCCTCAAAAATAAAATTTAAAATAAAATTTAAAATAAAATTCAAAATAAAATTCAATTTAATAAAGTTCAAAATAAAATTCAGCGAATATATCCCAAAATTTTCTTATCAATCCAAATTTGGGAAGAATAATTTGAAACAGCAGCTGCAGCGGTCATTCTTCGAATAGAATGTCCATGGCAATGGAAATGTATCCCAAAGAATTTCATTATTCTGGTATAAAGGTCTTCCAGCCCAGCTCATCGGAAGATAATTACCCAACGGAAACTCGTCCCACCTTTCTTGTCTGCAACTCCATTCTACTACGAGATGCATATATATATATATATATATATTAGCACTTATCTCATTATGATAATGTATTTCCTCTGAGTAATCATTGGGGTCAGTAGAGAGAACAAAATTAGCATGCTCTTTAGCAGGTACTGTTTTTAGGACAAATCCACATTTCCCTGGTTTAGTACAATTCGACAAAGCCTTGACACTTTGACAGAGAAAGTGTAACTTAATCTCTTGTTCAAAAACAGAAAAAATGTCTTTGATTATAATACCTTTATTACACATTATTTTCCAACCTGTCTCACAAAGATCTTCACAGGACGTGATTGCATAGAAAAATTCACTCGAAGGATCTGATTTATGCAAAAGACTACATAGAAATGATTTAGACACTTTTCTCCACTTCCGTTTTTTTCTAATTTCACGAACCTTGTTCAGAAAGTTTGGTGAACATTTGACTGGAGACCCCTCGTTGGCATTCATCCAAGTCCATATTCCCACAAAAAACATCCACAAATTCAAAACTTCGTCGGATGTACCCAACCAATCAACAACTTCATCAAATGTTAAGCTAGTGTTAAGAGTATGAAACATATTTGGTATTATGTTACTGTCAGACAATTGAGCAACACCAGATGTGCTGGCAATTGAAGTCACAGATTCCTTGGGTAGCACTGCCTGTTTGCATGATTTTCTTTGAAGTCTAAGCAGCCACTTCAAATCATCATTTGTACCACACAGCTCCTCTAACATACCAAACAGTCTCTCATAAAGCTGAATATTGTTTTTAAGACAATAACTCAAATCAATATTTTCCAGAGTATATTTGAAGTTGGTTAGATCCAAAGTTCCCTGGTTAGATGAACTAGCAGTAATTTTTTCTGTAATAGGTTTTACAATGTATTCTACATTAGTTTTTGTCAGCTCAATGATCAAATCTAGTTGTTGGCAAGACAGAGAGGTCAAGTTTTGGAGATATCTGAAGATAAATTCCCGTTGTGACTCCCCATTCAGTGACTGGATCTTTTTAAGAGCAATCTCGACTAACTGTCTAGATTTGAGGTTAGATAAAACATAAACTGCTTCATCAAATAAGAAAATCAAATCTTTGAACGAAGCTTCTTGAATAGCTTCAGTCATATAATTTTCAAACTGATCAAGACATCTGTTCACCAACCAAGACATCTTAAAAACATTGGCCAATTTATAGATATCTCTGAATACATCTCTAGCAATAAGTGGAGTTTTCCCAGTGTAGGCAGCATGAACGAAATATCTAACAGTTTTCTCACTGAACTCCTCCATATCAACACTGGTCAGATGAAGAGTTGTGGTCATGTGATCTATCACAGGACTGTTGAAAGATAGGATCACTGAACTGGCTGGTATCACTGCCCCCTGACTTGCCTTTAGTTCCAGGGTACTGTGGGTCGGAGAGTCCAGTAACTGGATACCAAAATTCATTGGAACAAACACTTTTGACATTTCACCTGAAATGTTTCGATTATGTATGTACTTATATTACAAAATATATAAGTATATTATATACAATTAATGTAAAACAAAATTAAATCTATATTAATTAAATTAAGAGGATGAAAA